ACACTGATGTATGTGCTACAGGTGTATTTAGCTGGTGGAAAGAAATTCCTTATGGTCAGAGACCCTTGAAAGAGTGCTGACTTGCCCTGGAGCTTAGTTGGGCCTTGAGAGGAGATGCAAACCTGTATGCACTGGCCATTCTAAACAGAGCTAAAGCCAACTGAAACCATCCCACATAAAAAAAAATAGAATTGGAGCTTTTGCTCCTGAGAATGAGGAAACAGAAACTTTGGAAAATTAGACTGTGTATATCTGTGCTATGCTATTTCCTTCCATCTGAACAAATATCGGTGAAGTCTGCTGTATATTCCAATTATCACCAAGGTATTTTGTCAATTTCAGACATGAAAAATGATTTGAAAGGGACTTTATCTTAAAGATGGGAAGGAAGAACATTCATTTACCTCTTAAATGTCATTTAGTTGCTCAGCACCAAGGAAACATTCCCTGTCTACTCTTTGAAGACAGCTGAACTCTGTAGAAAATTATGGCATTCTGATTTAATTAGAAAATACCATATTTCCAGCTATACTAACAAATAGGAACAGCAAAGTAATTAAGACTAAAGCATTGCATACTTCAGGTCAACTTAAAATCCTGTTCTGAATGAAGTTGGAATGATGGTGTTTTTCACAAACATCGCTAATTCTGTTTCAAATTAGGAACTGGCAACTCAGTGATAAGCTGATATATACACTCAATAGTTGTGTAAAGACACACGATTTCTATGGAGGAAGTTGCCATATTGATTACATTTTTCAGCAAAGTGCAGTGTTGGCATTATAATCTATCTCATGTGCATGAAAAGCCATGTTTTACTTGAGTTATCACAGTTTAAAACTGTTGGAAGGACTTCGTAGTTTTGTATTTCTAGGGTTCCTTCATAGTATAGTTGGAGCTATAATTAGAAATAGCATGCAGAGTTAAAAATTTTTGCTTTGAAATTTCATACAACTAAAACCGAATGCTAGCTCAGCAATTAACTAGTTAGGTGAACTTGATTAAGTTCCTTAACTGTTCCAAGCCATGGTTGATTTTGTTCTGTCAAATGTGGACAATAATAGTACCTACCCATGAAATTATGCTGAGGATTAAAAGGGATGATTCATGCTCATGATCCAAAGTAAGGACTCAATAAACATTACCTACTAATTTCTACACAAGGTCATAGTTATATACTATCAGAATGTGGAGCCAATTTCTCCTAATGACTAATACAACTGAAAATCATTGGAGCATTTTATACTTTCAAAGTGTTGTTACATGATTTATCATTTTAAACTTCCTGCCAACCCCTAGATATGGTTTTGCTGTATTCCCACCCACATCTCATCTTGAATTGTAACCCCCACAATTCCCACATGCCATGGGAGGAACGAAGTGGGAGGTGATTGAATTATAGGGGCAGGTCTTTTCTGCACTGTACTTGTGATAGTGAATAAGTCTCACGAGAACTGATGGTTTTAAACATGGGAGTTCTCCTGCACAAGCTCTTTCTCTGCCTGCTGCCATTCATGTAAGATGTGACTTGCTCTTTCTTACCTTGTTCTATCCAAGCTGGAGTGCTAGATTTGAAATAACAGCAGGGCAACAGATAGAGCAATAGTTAGAGAAAAGGTTTGCAAACCTCAATGGACCTAAAATACACATGCGAAATAAAACTTTACCTTTTTTTATTTCTTAAGAGTATAAGCCTTTTTCAACTACACATTTTGCTTTTCTTGAGTTTGCTTTATTGTGGGGTCAGCTCATTTACTGACTTTTGTCTGCTTCACCATGAATATTTCATCTTAAACACTGGGCTGATTTTCAAAAAGATCTATGTAAAGAGCAGAGTTTAAAAGGCACAAAGTCAAGGGTCCTTGAGAAATTTTGAGTACAACAGTCAAGTAACAAGGGCACTGGAAGCTACAATTAAGTAGACTTGAAGAACCATAAATAGTGGATGTGAATAGCAGCCCGAGAGTGTTATCTATCTTAGAATTGTGTCTGCAAAGCATTGAAGATTTTTCCACAGATTTTCTACCTCAGTTACATGGCACATGGGTCTTGTGCTTTTTTATATGCTTTTATAATGCTGTAATGTCCATGATTCACAGAATATTTATAAGGGTATAGGTACTGCTTCCAAACAGTTAGGCTCCCTTTGTATGACAGCAATGCTTAAAGTGACTAATTGCATATCTTATTTATTCTTGGATTTTTCAACAATTAGTTACCATTTATGGACCAAGGCAAATTTTGAAATAGTTTTATATACTTGTACAGAGATAGTGATATCACATGATGCATTACCAGTATCTCTCACATATGCACTCCAAGGACCTCCCACATAAGTCTACATTAAGAGTGAAGTCTGTTGCTGGCTACAGTTACAATCTTCAAGAGAATGAACAGGGACAATGATGGTCATTGAAAACCTTTATATAACCCAGCCTTGTTATACTAAAAAGAAATTTCAGTGTAATAGTCACAGACAAAGAATTTTACATTGTCAAAGAAATTTCCCATTATAGAAAGCGGTGCCAGGCTCCAGCATCCTTCCCTAGCCAATGACACATCAATCTTGATTCCTCTGTGATATCATCTACCAAGTTGTTAAGGTCTTGTCCATTGTGATTCCAAAATATATTCTGAAGCAATAGCGCTCTTTCACCATCTGCACTGCTGATGCCATCATTGCTAGCCTGGTTTGCCTTAACCTGGTGTCTTCATTGATTGCCACCTGACTGCTATCCATTCTCTGTATAGTGCTAACATTTAAACCCATGCTCTTTATCATGGCTTGCTTGCTTTTTGGAGTCTTGTCCCTGTCTTGCTCTCTGACTTTATCTAATATTTGCCCCAGCTATTCTGGGCTTTTTTCTCTTTGAAAATTTGACATCTTATTGCTTGGTAGTTCTCATCATTTCTGTACCTTTGCATGGCTGGTGCTTCTGCGCATGTTGGTCTCTTCTCAACAGCACCTTCCTCAGAGACCTACTCTGGCCTTCTTTGCAAAGTCATGTGTTGCTTTATGACTGGGATACAAGAAATGTACCATCAGATGATTTTTGTCATTGTGTGACCATCATAAAGTGTACTAACACAAACCTAGATGAAAGAGCCTACTACACACCTAAGCTATGTGGTATGTGGCCTATTGTTCCTAGGCTACAAACCTGCATAGCATGTTACTGTATAGAATACTATAGGCAATTGTAATACAGTGGTATTTGTATTTCTTACAGTATCTAAACATAGAAAAGATACAGAAGTACTGTATTATATCATATGGGACTACCATCATGCATGTGGTCTATTGACTGAAAAGTTGCATGGTGCATGGCTATAATTTCTCCCAAGGCATTATACATTACTGTTTAACTTTTGTCCTCACATTTGTCATCTGGCTTTATCTTGGTAATTTTACTTGTTACTATGTCTGATATCTAGAGTATAACGTTTTTGAAAGAAGGGAGTCTGTCCTGTTCACTTGCTTACAGATCAGTGCTAGATACTGTTCATAGCATGCAATAAACAAATTTTTTTGGATGATTGAAAGGGACTATGAGATAAGATGCAATAAGAAAAAAGAATTTTATGAATATGAATAAGTTTTCAGCAAAGTATAATGAAATATTTATTAAGGAAGTAAAAATCTGATTGCAAGCCTTAACAAAAGACAGGGTTAGTTGAGCTTAGCTTCTTGAAGAGAGGTGTGAAATGCAAACATTGAAAATACAAACACATTTTTAATAATTAATGATCATTAATGTCCTCTAATCAGGGCAGAACTTATTAGTTAAACAAATAGTTATCTTTCAGAATTAAAAGGTAAATAGAAAGATAGTTCATATCTTTATTTTTTTTTCTATTATTTTGAAACAGGAAAGAATGTTCCATATGTGAAAGTGAGTATGCAAATAGATGCACCTATTGGCAAATAAGCTGAACGTCCTTATAAAATATCAGAAGACATTTAGAAGCATTCCACAACCTAAGTGCTGTTACTCCAGAGTCCAAAAGCCCTAAATTATATATAAATTGTTGTCTTGGTTGTCCCTACTCATGAAGCCATTTCTTAATCTGAAATTTTAGAAATGCTGGCTCAATGGAAAGAATTTCACATTTGTCTCTTGTTTTTATTGTTTTGGAAATCTCGGTTGGTTTTGAATATCCGTAACGTTCTGTATTTGAACACAGTAAGTAAGCCAAGAGTTGATAGATTTGGGAGGTGGACTCTTGCAATAGGTGACTGTATCTTGCAGGGTCAAACAAACTTTGATTCGTACATCAGTCATGTACTGGTGCTCTGACCAGGTTATTTCATTTCTGCAAGCCTTAGTTTCTCAACTAATGAAGAGTAACACATATTACAAGGTTATTGTAAAAATTAAATGAGATCATGGCTAACACAATGTCTGGTATATTGTCATTTCCATCCACTTTTACTCAGTTCTGACACTTACCAGCAACAGGACCTTGTCAATGCACTTATCAGGGTTTCAGTTTTACACTTTCAAATGAGAGAATAATAGCCTGCATGTTCTTAAGAGGATTTTAAAAATCTAAGTGCCTTACATGTACAAGTGATGAGCCTGATCATTCAGATGGAAATGATATGTTTGCTTCCATGTCTCTGATCACCCCTTCACATTAATTTATATTTTATTTCATCTGTTTTCCCATGCATAAGTGCTAATGTTAGATGCTTTCTTGAGAAAGCCATGTCTATCTTTCAGACATGTCAAGTGCTAAGTTTGTTTAAATCTCAGCATCCACAGCATGTTACATAATGTAGGAGGCAATGGTGGTCCTCTTGGTAATATCCTTAAGAGATTCATACCAAGAGTTTTGAATTTTCTAAATAAAATATTTTTAAAATGTTTTAAATTTAATTTCTAAATAAAACATCACTTTTAAAAGGTTTTTAGTATTTCTCTGTATTTGAAAAGGCAATTTCAGAAACAGAACACTTGTACACCAGAAACACTCTTGCTTCCTCAAGTTCAGCCCACTTACCTACTCCTACATGAGAACTCAGGGACCCAGAGATAGAAATGGATATTCCCTCCCCATTTAAAAATCTCCTTACTTCAGTTTCACTTCTGCAGTATACTAGAGCCCAACTTTACTGGATTCTTTTCACATTTTGTCAAGTAAGACTAAAACATAGATAAATAAATATGCAGTTGAAAATGCATTTGTATTTTAATCGAGAACTGTGTGTTCAGGAATTATCGCTCCTGCAAACAGAGATAGTCATCGATCATAAGTGCTCCTTTGTATCTGCAGCTACTTATTACAGAGAAAAGAAGTATCTCTGGATTCTGAGAAATTTGCTGTCAGAAATACTGCATGGAACTCCTTTCCTTTTTTAATTTCCTGCTAGCCTCCGAAAGGAGAAATGAGGTTGGAGGGATGCTTTTTTCTTCTGCTGAGACCTGAAAATAGAGAGGAATAGACATTAATCTGTAACCCTGTCATTTAAATCAATACTCTGGAAATGATATTAGTCATTACTTTTATTGTTTAGTATTAAAAATCATAGCAAGATGGGTATAATAATAAATGAATATATGTTTATGAGTGTAGATAGGTTTTTGTGTGTGTATAATTTGATTCATACAAAAACTCTTACATTTTAATTGTGAATCAGAGAGCAAGACGCTTAGGACAGGAACCCAGGGCTTCTGCCTCCTACATCAGTTCCATATTCTTTATTTAAAAATCAGATATTTGGTTAAAATAATACAAATTTGAGGGATCTGAATAACTGTATGTATGCATATGTGTACACACACAGATAGCACAAGGAAATTTTTCACATGTATCAAGATGTTGATTTACCTTTTGCAATTTTTAAACAATAGTTTTAGTATTTAAAACAGACCTACCTTCAACCTGTATTTTCCATATTAAAATTATCAACTTTGAGAAATGAGCAACAATTTAAATCCCCAATCAGCATAAACTAGATGGTGAGACAAAGGTCATCTGCAAGTTGTACTCTAAATGTTAAATCTTTCCATGTGCTTCTATTTTTATTTCACATAATAGGTAAATATCATGGTAGGAATATTTTCATTTTTTATCATTCCTTGTAAGTATGAGAGAAGAATACAGTGATAACTTAGCAAAACATAGTGTCTGTATCTAACTGTGTAGGTTTCTAATATCCCACAAACACTTTAGTTAACTGTCTCCACATTCTTCTCATATTAAATCATGAAATCAAGAACTAAGCAGAAGAACATTTCACTGGAAGGCTGATCTCAAACAGAAGCAATTCCTACATCTACACCATCCAGAGCATGTCCAGTCTCAAATGAACACTTAAAAGTCTTCATCCTTCGGTATTTATTTGGAAGACATGAGAAATGAGCAACCAAGCTTTACAGCCTTGGAGATAGGGAGTGTCTTTTAAGGGTTAAGAGTATGACATTTAGAGTTAAGGAAACCTAGGTTTATATTCAAACTTTCCTACATGAGCTTAAGCAACCCTTTAGTCCTCATTCTCTTCATCCATAGAATGAAAATAATTGATCTATCTTGTTGGATATGTTTTGTAAGGGTTATAAATTAATATATATTCAACATACTAATAGGGAAATAAAAGCTAAAACCACAATGAGATATCCCCTGTTGGGAAGGTTATTACCAAAATGACAAAAGATAATCTTTTATGTATGTCCAGGATGTGAGAAAAGAGAACCCTTGTACACTGTTGGTGGGAATATAAATTAGTACAGCCAGTATGGAAAAGAGGATGAAGGTTCCTCAAACTAATAACATAGCTGCTACCTGTATATGATCCAGCAGTTTCATTTCCAAGGGTTAAATGCACAAAGGAAATGAAATTAGTATCTCAAACACATGCTGCACTTCCATGTTTATTACAGTCTTATTCGCAATCGACAAGATATGGAAGCAACCTGAGTTTTCATCAGTAGGTAAATGGATAAAGAAAACAAACATAATGTATATACACAAGGAAATACCAAGCAGCTGTAAAAATGAAGGAATTACTGTCATTTGTAACACAGATTAGCCTAGAGAATGTTGTATTAAATAAGCCAGGCATGGAAAGACAAATACTTCATGATCTCATAAATGAAATCCAAAAAGATGAAATCATGAAAGCAGATAGTAAAATGGTAGTTTTCAGGAGTAAGGGGTAGGAAATGGGGAGATTTTCGTGAAAGACTAAAAAGTTTTAGAGAAGATAAATAAGTTCAGGGGATGTATTGCATAGCATTGTGACTACGATAATAATGTATGCTTAAATTGTCGACAGCAAATCTTAAATGTTCTTGCCGCAAAAGTTTGTTAGGTGATGAATTTGTTAATTGATCTAATCATTGCATAATGTATATAGATATATATCAAAACATCACATTGTATGCCATGAATACATATAAATTCTATGTGTTGTTAAACCTTAATAGAAGTGAGAAAACTTAAAAAATATATAACACTTTGACTAGTATCTTGGTCACTCTTGATAGTACTTAGTAATCATAATTTTGTACTTGATAGTACTTAGTAATCAAGTAATCTTGACATGGTCACTCTTGCTAGTACTTAGTAATCATAATCATATTACCTGTGCTTCCTTTGATACTGTTGCTTCTGCCCACTACTCATTCAGTGAATATTTATTGGGTACCAACTATGTAAGAAGCTAAGTCCTAGATCACAAAAGCACATATCTGTGCTTATGTGATTTTGTAATCACTCTATTTGTATTAACGTATTACTCATAGTTTTTATTATGTATTCTCTACATTTTCTATTTATTACTTTAGTTATGCCATTATTCCAATAGTTTCAGAAATAAATGTAAAGTTTTGACTGATAAATGATTCAAAGGAGAGCAGATCGATGCTATGAGGACCTTGTTTTCCATATTGAGGAGTAGAGCTGCTACACAGCTATTATCCAGATTCTCAAGACTAGAAAGAATTGAAAACACACCCAATTAAACAAGTTTGTGTTTGTATGTTATTCTCTTTAATTATTCTCCTCTGTACATTTTCTATCATTTAGTCTAATTAAAGTCTATTCTCTCCGTTCCTTGTCACTTTCTCAACTTACTATAAGATAAATAATTATGAACAAAAATAAGGTGGGGATATAAATGGGAAAACAATATAGTAATATCTTGTTAATCCAATGCTAGTTCATTCAAAATAACATTCAAATCGAATCAACAGTTATTCCCCAAATAGATATGGTTTTCTCATTAAAATTGTTCACTTAATACAAAGCACGCATTATTGAATTCTTTAAGGCAGAAATTAGATCCCAAGAGGAACTTGCATTATTAAAGAGGTAAAATAATTCCAAGGGTTGCCATGAAACAGCTGTATATCAGCTACAAGTGAAACCATATCTGTGGACCACTGTGATTACTTAAGACTGCAGGATTTGGTTCATAGACAATCATTCATTCACCTCTCCTCTTTAAAACAAATATTCGGGACTACTTTTTAAAATCTGCAACATTTTTCATGTGAACGACTTCCCTGCTTTTTATAGCATTCAGTGTCTGCTACAGAATTATATAACTTTAATAATTAACAATAAATTGAAGTTCTTCCTCAACTGTGATCTAATCTTTCAGTGAGACACTTTTTTATGATCTGCTTGAATTTCTAAACACTGAAAATTTTCCATTGTGATTGCTATGAGTGTACTTGGAGGAAAGCACTGGAAGATACAGGACTGCATTTTTAAGAGGGACATTTCTTCCTCTTTGCTGTCTTTGAAATGGAGCTACTGTAATCTGATGCTCAGATCTCTGATGTTTGTTTCCAGACTTAATACAATTTTAATGTTTAAGAACCTCAGGATGATTCGATTAGAAGTGTTATAAAAGCACAAATTATTAGGATTGTTCAAAATGTTAATTGCATCATCTCATTAAAAAAGAAAACCTTGTTTTAGTAGGAATCCCTGGGGGTATGGATGGTATTTCTCTTTTACAACTGTTAAGCCAAAGGTCGACAGTACAGTAAGCATGCTTTGGGCTATCAGGGAATGATTTTATATATGACCCCCTCCGCTCTAGGAACTGCTGAGAACAATTATTCCCTGCTGTGGCCCAAGCTGTGTCAATATGAAAATTCATTTGGGAAATGTGTAAATCATTAGAAAAGGTTTACGGTATTTCATCCCCCTAAGGATAAAATATAACATGCTATGTCACCATGGTGATTTATGACTCTTGAATTTCCTTGGGATAGATAAATCATGTGCAGTTTAACATCCTATACTCTTTAAATTAACCAGCATCACTATCTCCCCATGATCTATTTGCATCACAGAGAGGGGCAGATCTGAAGATTACATCACAAAAGCATGTGACAGCAGAATCTGTGTTTTATAGTAATACATATAACTACAATTTCATGAAAAGCCAATTCAATTCATAGAAAAGGTATGACAGCATTAGCTTTGCCATTACACTAAAACAAGCATAGTTTCAACACATTTTTTATTATTCTTATGCACAATTTCCTAGATGCAAACAGGAAACAGATATCTAAGACATGACCCCTGTTTTCAAAAACATAGAACTAAAAATCTTTATCAATTTATCTTACTCTCTAATTTCAGGTCCATCAAACCAGAGTGAAAAACAAGGAAACTAGCAAACATATAAGAAACCTCTGTCTTCCTCCTAGATTTTCTCTTAAAACGGAGCTAATGTTTATGGACTTAAGAGCTAGTAAACCCTATTTTATGCCAGACAGCCAACTGCAAACTCCTCCTCCTCTTTAAATATATTTCAAAAGCCAAAAGAAGTGAAGAATCGGCTAAAGCACCCCTGAGAGAATCCTGGTGCTGTTTCTTTTTCTGTACAAGGAAAGGAGGCATTTCTTTCTCTGCAAACCCAAGATAGTGAAGCTCTTCACCATTATGCTTACCAAAGTCCTGCTTATCCTCCAAGGTTTGACTCCTTCTCAAACATAAGGAATTAGTCTCACCCTTCTGTGTCCTCCCAGAACTTGCTACACAACTTACTCATAGCTGTTGACCATCCTACACCATGAGAAATACACATATTCCCATCTCCAGACCAAGAATACAGATTGCAAGACAACCCAGATCTCATTCATTCTTGTATTTCTACAGTTTAGAAAAGTACATGGCATTTATGAGGTACTTAATGAGTTAAATACTGGGCCACAATAAATGTTTGAGGTGATGGATATCACCGGATTTGATCATTACACATTGTATGCTTCTATCACAGTAGCATAGGTACCCCGTAAATACGTACAACTATATATTCAGAAGAATTAAAAAAATAACTTTTAAAAGTAATATTTTGCATTTTGGGTTTTTCCCTTTAGAGAAAAAAAATGGGCCATGAATTGTTTTTAATCACAGTTGGCCTCTATACCCATGGGTTCCACATTCATGGATTCAGCTAACT